TAGAATAGCCGGTTTTCTGTCATTGTACTGATTGTGAAATCAAAAATCAGATCAGTAACAATTCATCTAAATGCATTTTGATGCTACATTGAATAACTAGTAAAACGTTTTACACATATAAACCCCTTTTTACTTCCTTGTACGAAGTTAAAAGGAAGTATTGTAATAATCGCGAAATGTTTCAGGCAGCATATTTCAACGAAAATATCCATTTTGACCGCTATCGAATGTAATTTAACGCAATTTAACGATGTTTTTGCATGACATCTGTACGTAAGGACAGAATAAGACTCTTTCCTCCAAAAAAATTATAAACTTGGTTTAAAATGAATTCTGAAGAGAATTTTTCGTGGCGTCTGTAGGAACGTAGGTACGTACGTACGTATATACTTACGTATCTCGCATAACTCAAAAACGAGTAACTTCAGAACGTTGAAATTTTGTATATAGGACTGCTATAACATGTAGATGTACACCTCGTATTTTGATTGCAATGGGCCGTACCAAACGTATATATATATATATATATATATATATCCACTCTGTTACCCGGCTCAGTGATCTCAGTTTCTTCACTCTTATATGTTTGTAAATTGGACATTTTTTTGCTTTAAAAATGATTGAATTATGTTGTTCTTATCTTCCGGTTAAGGTTTTTATGCCTTTAGTAAATCTGTATGCAATATTTTTAAAATTATCAACAATTTTAATGTGGTTTAAGTGCCGCTAAGCCTAATAATTTTTTGATAGCGGCCATTGCTTTTTTACATTTGAAACAGCAGAATACAGGATTTGTTGCCAATCTAGAGAAATATAGCTTCGCAACAATAACGATAATGCCTTCATTTATTATTGCGCATTAAATCATTCTTAATCCTTTCTGTATTTTTTATTTATTTTTATTTATTTATTTATTTATTTATTTATTTATTTTTTTTGAGGAAATAAGTGTTTAAGATTTACTTCGTAATTTTTAATGCAGATATTTTGAGTTTTTATGTATTTTTGCCTTGTCGCGAAGTGAGAGCTGAATTAAATGAATGAAAAATACTCAATCGTCTGTGAAAATCTGTTTCTTTTTTGTTTCGTTTGCTTAATTTTTTTATACATCGTTTTAGATTTATTATAGTATTTGAATAGAACATGTGGCAACGATTAGATAATTCTTCAAATGACATAAATTTTGAGCATTCTGAGTTACAATATGAACGAAATATAACGCTGTTAAGTGAACCTAGCGCCGGAGTGTCGCTATGGTAAACAAATATGTGAATTTTAAAGAGAGCATTTATTCTTTTGTGGTTTATGCGCTATGGACGAAGTTGATTTAATTCATTTCCATTAAATTTAAATGAAATGCAAGAAAAAATGCGTATAATTTAATATTCCGTACAAGGAAGTCATGCGGGGTACACATCAGATTTTTTTCATTCGTCACTTGAAACGTTTATGCGAAAGGTTTTTTTTTACTCGTCTTTGATGTCATTTTTCTTAATTTATATCTTAAGTTCTATTTTATCTAGTCTCTTAATAGTAGGTTGTAATATATGACAACAGTGTGTATTCATAATCATTTTCTTCATTGGCTCTGTGTAATTTTGCAAATTGTTCATTTTGTTTTATTTGATGTGCTTTTTCTAGTCGTTATTGAATAACTGATTTAATTTTTATGCTTTTAATTTAATTTAATAACTTACATATTCAAAAAATATATTTCTTTGCTTTTCTTTACAAGAAAATGTTGGTATAAGATTTTTAAGTAGAATCAAATTAATGTATTTAGAATGAATTACTCTATATGCTGTTTAATTGTTCGTTATTTATTATTTTTTGTTACATTTAGTGAAAGTTTCCGTCAGTCTGTTTCATCTCATTAATGTGTTTTGTGTTTGCGGTCAGTATTTGTGTGTAATTTTAAGCATTTTAGAGAGAATTCATACCACTATTTTTAAATACTTTATCAGTATAACTTCAAACAATAAAGTATATTATAATGAAATAATATTTATAATTTTTGTTTAAAATTAATGTCGTTTCTTATGTACATTCCATATGTTCAACGATATGATATAAAAGAAATTTACTAATTGAACCTAAATAAACAAAAATATCTAATTTAGTAGAGTAGATTTTTAAAAGCGTAATTTTTTTTCGAAAATCTTAAAATTAGATAACACAAAAATTTTGTTCGGATTTTTTGCATAAGCAGGAAATCATTACCAGATAACACAATTTATAAGCTATAAATGTAGATAGATGCTACATTTATCTACTAGTATATAAAACAAAATAAAAGCATTAATATGTAAAACTGCTAATAACTACTAATATATAAAGCAACATAGATATATAAAGCAGCATGTGATATTTGATAAAGAGTTTGTTTTTTTTTAAATTATCCCTGGAATGCTTTAAAATGTTAAATGTTCAAATATGGTTCATAATGGATTCTCAGTTTTAACATGAAAGTTAATAAATAGGATTAAATCTTCAAAAATGTTTCAAACATCTGACATTTCAAAGTAACAAATGATATAATGCCAGAAGCATGTCAGACATATAACTTTAAATAAGAAAGGATGTCTTTCCCATTTTACTTATTTCTTCTATGTTGGTTCATAATATTTACGATCAGAGAAATGTTTCACATTTCAAACGCTAAGCTGTGATTTCTAAATATGCTTAGTAGTCATTAGTCAATTATAAATAACTCATAATTCAGTTGTCTTTCTTCAATGCCTAAAACAAGACATGCGTTTATTTATTATACTCGCTCCACAGGATTAAATTTTCTAAAACGTGATACCACTATTAAAAGACTGTCAAATTTTATGTTGTCCAGTGTTTGTTTGTTATTGTCCTGTTCATCGTTCCAGAAAAAGAACTTGTGTATACGACGCTGGTATGACCGACAATTGCAACTACAAAGACATTCATAAGAACATAAATGACGAAATTATCTGGAGTCAAGATAAAAGTCCAGGAAAACGCAAGAGATCTTTCGAAAGGGCCCGTGAGGGATCTGGAGCAGATATGCGAACATTCCTGAGGTCCCTGAAATCGTTCACAGCCAATCGCAAACGCCAATAGGTTCTGAAGAGCACAGATCTCCGTTAACCAATCAACTGTATATTGTTTCTTTTTGTTTTAGTTTGTGGTAAGCTTCCTGTTTTGTCTTGTCTTGTCTTCAATGTATTCCATGCATGACTTTAAAAATATTTAACAGTTGACAGTCTTACAGCTTTGTCAAAATATATGGTAAATTTCAAGAAGCCGAAAACGTAATAGTTACAAATATATATTATTATCCAAGTAGTATTAGAAAGATAAATATAAGTTATCCTTTTCCTTTTCGTATGACTTTTCTAAGATATTGTTACGCATTAACCTTAGATGCAACGCGCAGAAGACTGTATTTGCATTATGGCCAGTTACGTATGAGAATTGTTGCTAGCACAAGTTCAAGTCGCCATCAGCAGTGCTCATTTTAACAAAAGCTTCCGGGATTGAAGTCAAAGAAACTCTCAATAAAAGAAGTGTGATTTCGTTTTAACTCATGATAGTTATGTAAAGCTCCATTTGCTTATTTTCAAAGAACATTTGAACCAAACGAACGCTCTGTTACTGTGGCAAAATATTTCCTATTCTAATATTTTATGAATTAAAATAAGGACAGAGCTAAAAGATCACAGCTTTTGTGTCTTCATAAGAACGATAAACTTATATAAGCCTAACCTGGTGGACTATGAGGGCAATTTTTTTCTGACGGAAAATGTTTCACATACTTCATTGTGATTGGCCGGTCCTTCACAAGTAATGCTAGTTATGCGTAAAGCAATTATGCATTAAGAGCATAAGATTAAATATATTTAAATCTTATGCAACAAAAGCTGTATCACTAATTTACGACGAATCTGTATTATAATACATTTTGGTCATTACGTCATTGAGTAAAGTACTTAAAGTTTCAGTTTTGGGTTACATAATTAACATAGAATTTTTACATTTCACAGAATGAAAAATTAAAGGATTTATTTCGTCATTCATGTTTGTCAGATGTGACAGTTTAGTGGTTAGGGAAGTCTACTGCGATACCGAAGGACCCGGTTTCCAATCCTGGAGAAGACATGGCTGTAATTGTCCGTCCCTTCATAAAAGGTAACGATGGCCTGCTTATTAGGTACTTACAGCGTAAAGTGGCCACCATTTCCGGCCTTAATAATGACCAAGGCCTAAGTCGGCTAAGTGCCTGCCATTGGGGGGGGGAGGAATTCATTATTTATTACTGATTATTCAAACTGTGAAACGGGCGCAAATGATATTTGTTTTTGGTAATGTTTTTGATAAGAAATCGCACATTATTGCATTATAACACGGTTCAGTTAAGCATAATTGCTCCAACATACGAATAATTTTCCAAATCCCAAACATAAATTAGTACTGCTGTGAGTAAATTTTGAGCAATCTAAATTCAAGGGTCTCCAAGTTAATAATCAAAATTCAGAAAATTTATGCAATTTTTTTTTTCAAAAAAGAGAAGTTACACAATAACATTTAATAAGCTTTGCAATATCTTAAGCAAGTAAGAAATTAAGTTTTAGTTTACTGACGATATTGAGAAAGTGAAATTACCACTTCGATGCTTGATTTTTCAATCTCGAGAACTATTTACATCATTAATATAAAATGCAGAACAGATCTTTATTTATGGGCGAGTATATGAAAGTAATCATCGAAAAGTAAATGAAGATATATCTCTCAGATTTAGTAGTATAATATTTTTTTTGCACTTGTTTCTTAAATATTCCTATAGTAAAGAAATTCTATTTTCGATAGAATTTAAAATTAGGAATTCCGATTAATTACCTGAACCATCATTTATTAGTTCTAGTGACCGGATTGTGACTCGCTCAATATTTAATAGTCGCCCAGCAACTGTTAAGAATGTTTAATTGATTTTTTTTTGTTTTGTTTTTACCAATCACGATTCTTCCTCGCAGCAAACGTTCATGCACGATGCACTTACCTGGTTTGGGGTGTGTTTATGAAGACCAGGCTAAAAAAGCCAAGGACAAAGAAGTTTGGATTAAAGAGGATTCTCCTGGAAAGAAAAGAAGTTACTACAGTTGCGGATTCAAAGTAGGCAATCCTGAAGGTTGTTTGGGAAAGTTAGCAGATGGTGATAATAAAGATACTTCTCACTGGGAAGACCCTGATAGCCCAGGCAAGAAATAAATTCTAAGAAATAATCGCCGAAAAGGGCAAAGAGGACAAAAACCGGACTGGAACAGATTTCATAATATGGTAAATTTTCTACTGTGCGGATGGGGAATTGGCTTATGGTGGAGGTGTTCTTTCTGCAGCTTTGCGTGATGGTTTTTTTAATCATATTTTATCAGGCAATAAAATTTATCAGGCCGCCAGTGTATTAATATTAATCCAGATAATTAGTCTAATAATTTAACAGATGGTCCAATATAATTAGTCTAGAGACTAATTATATTAGATAGAGAAAGTAACCTAAAATGTTATTACAATTTTTAATTATTTCAAATTTATACAATGAAGAAATTTGAAAACGAGACTTATTATTTGAGATGAAAGAGGTTCTTTTGACTCTAAATTAAAAGCTCAATATGAAAACATTCTTCATTAACATTTGCTGTCAAGGTCATACCTTTGTTTAATCATTTTAAAATGCGAAAGGAAGAGTTTTGTTAACTAATCTTTTTATATGGCTTAGTTACCATCATTATAAAAAAAAACTAAATTCCCTAAATAAAACTGTTAAAGTTATTAAACTATGGGTATCCCTTGCATGACACTGAATCAAAACATTAAAAAGACGAATAAGAATTGGCAAAAAATTTTAAAAACCAGGAACATTCATAATTTAAAATCAGAAACAAATTCAGAGCTGTGTCAGGAAATGAATTGTGCTTAATATATTCATGCCGCAAGTGTATTAATATTAATTTTACTTGGGTTTTCCCAAAACATCTATGTCAGAGAATAAATCATGTGAAGGCAGACTACCGAGAACAGTGTGGCTGGTTCTTCAACGGTAATCATCTCGATAGTCTGTTCTTAAAGAATGTTGATCACGATAACGTGTGTCATTACAAGATAGGCATAAATTTTGAAGCTGACAAGCGTATTTGTATCCTTTCATACCCTGCTATACCTGACACACCTTTGTAAGATCATTTTCTTTTTCTAGAAATCAAAACGCTATTAGTGGGTGATTTTTAATGACCTTTCAACTAACTCCTAAAAAACTATATAGAAGGTTTTAAACAGCATCATTGTTTATCAACAATTATTTTACTTGATTTGTAATTATATAAAGCAGTGTATGAATTCTAGAGAAAGTTAATCAAATAAATCAAAAACGAGTTATTTATTACGCTAATTCATTCCATTTATCTTGCTCATCAGTCTCATTTTCTGATTGCTATTGATCGGATATAATTTGCCATATATCTCAAATGAAAATTAGTTAAATTTCTGTTAACAGCATAAACTAATTTTACAGTAACGTGAACATTTTAAGGAAACGAAGAAACTTGTTCTATGTGGTAGACACTACATCAAAAATGTTTAAAGAAAAAAAATAAATTACATCATAATCGAAAAACGATGAAAGAAGTTTCACATCTCTTTTTATTATTCACATTCACGTGAGATAAAAATTAAAGTTCTGTGTTGTGTAACAATAGAACGGGATGAAAAATTTTAAAATAAAAAATAAAGTCCTGTTTCTCTAAATTTTAGACAAATTTATTATTTTGAATAAAATAAAAATTTCGATGATGATACCAACTTTTGAAATGGCTGGATTTCTGATCAAGTTTCTTCTATACCATTCTATATTCAATTAATGAGTACTGAAATACTGACTCTTGTTAGCAAGTATTCTATACGCCATAATACTCTGAAAGATTCTGAACAATTCTGAGTGAGAAATATATTATTATTAAGGCATTAATTTTCTATTATAGTGTTATTTCTTTTTACATAGTATCCAACGCAACACATTGATATTTTAAGACTTATACATGTTTTTTTTTTTTAATTGTTGACGTGTTTATCCATATGTCCAAATTTCAATGACGTTATTACTCTGGTTCCTTAAAAATTCATCGGATGGTAATAAATTGACTTTCAAACTAAGAATTTAATGTTCTGATGTTTGAGGTGATCACTGTTTAAAACTATGTCTAATTCAGTCGTGGCAAATTACCAGACCAGCAGATTATGACAAAATCACTCTCTCGTCTTCGAATTATGAAGTTCGATATTGTTTTCTATTGGTAATATACAGGACTATCAAGACTGCCTGCATTCTACTTTTTCATAGTTCAACATCATACGAAATTACTTTAAAAAACAAACGATATAAGCGCGATACCATTTGTATGTCTTTGTGACATGTGATGGGCTCTCAAGACAGGTTCCCCCCCTCTCTGATTGGAATGAAAATTCTTTTACTTTCTTTAATCGGAATTACTAATCATATCTCATGGAAAAAATGAGACAGTTGCGTTATAAAGACAGCAAAATATTAAGTGTTTTTTCCATTACGAACCTTATAAGGAATTTCTCTTTCCTTCCAGCATGCCTTCGTAGTGTAGCGGTAGCACACTCGGCGCGTATTTGAGAGGTCCAGGTTTCGTCCAGGTTGTGTATCATTTTCATGGCAAGTGAAGTTTTCCCCCTTCGGCTCTGAATATCTTAAGTAATCTCTACAAACTTAGTCTCTGATGTCCTAAGAGTCTGCATATCTCAGAAATTTATCAAGAGGAACAGATATATTGCTAAACTTTTGCAATGTGTTCTTCTAAAACTCTAGTGGAAAACAGCAATTTTTTCTTTCAATATTTTAAGACAATATATTAAATTTATAGTATTATAAATTTTCATTTTTATTATAAAATTCCATTTATGTTTAAAATTTTGACATGCATTGTATTTAAATGTGGAAAAATATCTTTATTCAATTTAAATAAGATGATACTTTGAAAAACGTCTTTAAACTCAAAATAAAAATAGAAATTTTATTGAACTATCATTTTTGCTAATTTTTAAGACACGTGAGCTTTTAGACTCATGATAAAATAATATAAAATGAAAGATAATTTTCATGCATTAAACTTTAGAAAGTCCTCCATGAAGGCATCCTTTCCTTTAGGCAGATAACCCTCGAGTGTTTTGCCATAATTAAATGAACGAAACCAATTAAGCATTAAACTCAGCTGATTTGAAGTCTTTCTCTTGCGGAATTCTTATTTAATATTCTGCAGAAATATCAGCTAATTGAAACCTCTTCATGCTTTGAACAAATCGCTATTTTTGTATTTTACTGTTTTAATGAAATTCACTGGGTATTTAATAACTGATTATTTAGAACCTTTTGTGAAAATTCTACATCAGTTATTTGTATGCATTCTTCTTAATTCGTATTATAATTGCAAATAATTAATAAATTATTTAGAGAACTCTGTAATAATTGGAATTCCTTTTTTCTTTCAGTTTTGCTACTTCTGCTTCGTAGACTACTGCTCCTAAGAATTTCATCGCTTCCTGTTTGCCAAAATTTTAAATTTGTATAAATGCTTCATAGCTTAATTTCCATAAAATATTGGATATGGTGCAATAAACTGGAAAAATATTTTTTTTGTGTGTCGTCATATGCCTAATTCAATGCTCACTTTTAAAATTACATAATAAATATCGTTTGCGGTGATCCCTGCACTCAAAATGTATATATTTTATTTTGTGGACATTGAATGAAATAAAGTGATTCGTTGAAATTTGTTGTGCGTGTCATTAATACATTTTCACATCTTAAAAAAAAAAATCTGAAAGCTTTCAGATTTTACATTACGCCCCAAAGAGGCGTTTTTTTAACGTTTTGTGTGTTACCTTTATTTATTAAATATGTTCTTCCTTAAACCATAAAATTCAACTCAACAGCAATATCGCAAAATAATTTTATAATGAGCATATCTTTAGAATTTCTGATATACAGTCTCGCGCGCTGGAGTTTTTTCGTTGCCATTCGTCGCTTTGAAATCGTTGAGTTTGTTAATCAAAAATTCTTTAATGTCTGAGAAAATATGAAATAGATAATAAAAAACATTCCAAATTCCAAATTAGGGCTTCCAAATGCCCATATTCGGGTGGAGACGTACATTATTCAAAATTTGATGGCTCTAGGTACCGTTGTTTTATCACAATACGAGAAACTTGCATACATTTGTGCAGATTCTTCATTATTTAATTTCTCTAAATATAATGCAGAGCTGTAATATTTGGTAGCAACAGTTTGATAAGTGAATCAACGCAAAAAGTGAATCGACGCAAAATGCCAAAACGAAATTAATAGCCCTTCTGGGCTAATGCCCTTTGGGCTAAAAACAAATTCCAGATTCCAAATTTGGGCTTCCAGATGCATATATTCGGATGGAAACGTACGTTGTTCAAACTTTGATGGCTCTAGATACCGTCGCTTTATCACAATGCGAGAAACATACATACATTTACGCTGATTCTTCATTATTTAATTTCTTTGGCTGTAATATTTGGTGGCAACAGTTTGAAAAGTGAACCGACTTTTAAAGTGTTCAACGCAAAACGAAATTAATAGTCCTCCTGGGCTAACACCTTTGGGCTAAAAAAACCCGTCTAACTGCGTTGCATAATCTATCCAAATCCTAGAGCACTTTGGATTTCGATAACTATTTTAAGGGGATGTCTAGATTATTTTTTTCTGTGCAATAAGCAACAAGTACAAATGTTAATTCCTGTTTCATAAAATTTATCATGCTATCTAGCAAATCTTAAAATGTATTAGTTCTGCAATGATGTAAGAGTGAGAAATCAGGTTATAAGGTATTTTCATCTCCTTTCCACATGCCTTAAGGGTGTAATTGGAAGCACTCAACACATATTCGAGAGGTCTAGGGTTCGAGTCCCGGTGAGGACATTGCTCATTTTTCTTCTCTTCTGCTGCGAAAAACATCTAATAACTCTACATAATACAGATATAAGTGATCGGAGCATCAGAATTCCACCATAGGTTGCAAAAGTATATTTACGCTACACTAATTGAGCAGCTCCGCGCCATATCTTATGGAGAGTACTTTTATAAGATGAATCAGAGGGTCTTCCACCTCTCTGGTAACCACCAAACCATTCGAAAATACTTTAGGCTCTCCAGTATTTTGAGCTTCCCGATACCACATTAACACTATGTAATTACAAACATCCATGCCTTCTGAATTCAAGCCTCGATCCATCGATAATGCAGTCGGCGTCACTAACCACTGTACAGATCAGGGAGGCAATGAGATACCATAATCTTCTTACACAATTTGTAAGAATTGCGTTTTTTAACCCTTTAATAGCACATTTGAAAGTAATGCCCATATTATTCTCGCAGCATGGCATTCAAAATACATACTGAGGAATTATGCCACTTATTGCTTACATTTTTCATTTATAAAAATATTTTTAATTAGGTTTTCCTTAATTAAATTTATAACACTTAATCATTTTTCTTGTAGAACACTACTATGCTAATCTTGTATATACGAGGCTGCCTTTTATGAAAACGTTTTTCCTTTGCAAAATACATTTATAAGAAGTTTGCTAGAATATAAAACGCTTAAACAGAGTAGATTTTGGGGCCAATCTGAAGTAACGAATGATTGAAAATTTTTATTCATTCCCCATAAATGAAGATTAGCTTTAATGAGTTAATGTTAACTATTGTACGAACTATGAGAATTAGTTAATCGACGCGTGTTAGTTAGAATTCCTATTTATTGAAACAGAAAACTTAAAATATTTCAACTTCTAACTAAGCAACATTTTTTTAACTAACTTTAAAATTCTATTTAATTTAAAGGCACGTATCTACACACAAGAAGCGTATATGCAGATGTGAACAGATGGATACATTTAGAATCTCGACTCATCAGTGAAACATCAGTAATGTTCACTTCAGTTCTGATGTTCTTTATAGAAATTAAAACGATCCCTCCTTTGTGGAGAAGAAAGGTGACAGGAGAGAGAGAAAGTCCGGATACCAGGAATATTAGGGTGTTGTCAGGAACCCACAGCTATAAGGCTCACGCTGTGTGGACTCCCAATGGCGCGGAATCCGAAGTTTAATGGGAGCTTCTGACTGTACATGGCCATACAAGGGCCATGTTTTATACCAAAGATAATAGTTTTATACCAAAGACAAGATGCTGTGACGCTGATATTGTAAACTCATGTTTGAGCATTTTACATTGATATTTTTACATTTATCTTTAAACATTTTACTCTGAGATACACAAGTTCTTCACTGATGCTCATATATAAACATAAACTGCCTTCTCGCCTGTTATGTACATATAGGTTTGGACACTGAGAGTACACTAATACGAAATATCTATTTTACACTGTTGTTGTATAAGTCATCGTATTACACAGATTTTAATAATGATATGTAAATGTTTTATATTGATTTTACACTGAAATATAAAAATTGTATACTGGTGGTTGTATTTAATTATATATTTCTCTGGTGCATTTTATGTACACGCAGGTGCATATAGGGTTAGACGCTGAGGATATACGTATATGTAAAAATCTGTTTTACATTGATGCGTACACCGTTGTGTATACATTAACATTTACAACGATATATCACATCGATATTTAAACATTTTAAGCTGATTTTATCTTGAGATGCACATAAATTTTACATTGATGCACATATATATACAAACATTGCTCTGGTTCATTTTATGTGCACTTGGGCTTAGACTCTGAGGATATACTTGTACGAAACGCCATTTTTATATTGGCGTGTGCACAGCTGAATATGCTTCAATATTTTGCTCTAAAATTATACATTGTTATTTAAACAAGTTGCACTGAGTTTACTCTAAAACTGAACCAAAAAAAAAAAAAAAAAAAAAAAATTAAATGATGGGTTAGTGTGATTACGTGTTGAATTGCTAATATAGATTTCTCCAATTTCTTCTACTCTGCATTTATTTACATCAAAATTTGCATTTCTTCCGCCGCCTAGCAAATACATATTCTAACTAACAGGTTTTCTGTTACCTGGCAGACGCAGTTACAGGTTTCTGCCACCCAACAGATATATTTCATTATATCATTAAATTATAAACAGTTATAATAATCAACAAATAATAAAATTTCTATTGAAAAATTCAATTTTATTCAAAACTGGTAAAATAAAAAAGGGTCTACCTGGAATCAATTCCCGTTTAATACCAAGTTTCGAAAACAGGTTTTTTTTTTTTTTTTTTTTTTTTTTTTTTTTTCTACGGCTTTAAGAACTAAATTTTCTTCCAACTTATTTAATCTCGTCCGCCGTTCGCTAAAAATGGATGCGTTTAGTTATTTTAAGATTTCACTTCTCAAATTGAGATACATGTATTTTTATGTTGTCATTGACATCGTTCCAGATAAGACCTAAAACTTTTAACGGATCATGAAGTTTTCAGATGTCTCACGACAGTCAACTTTGTTAAGTTTCCGTAATTCATTCAGCTTAGAAGAGTTTGAAACCCATTTACGTAAATTTATGTTGTCCTTGCTAAGAATGAAAATCATGTATTTATTTAAATTTATGATCTTTGCTACGTCAACTATCCCAGAAATTAAATATTAAGTTGTCTATGTAAAGTTCTTTTAATATGCTTCAAGCTTCATCGTAGGCTTCTTGATGTCTTTTTTTTTTAATGTAATCTTATAGTAGCTATTAAAAAATGAGGGGAGCACTTGACCCCGAAAGGGGTTCCACAATGTTGGTGAACTTGAATGTTGTGATTACTGTCATCGAGATTGAGCTTTTCCTCGTTTATCCACAATAACTTTAAATTTTATTTAAAGTCCTCGTTTATCCACAATAAAAATTTCCTATCTTCCTTAGCTGTGCCTACTGCTAAAAATGCGCACCGAATGTCGCCACTAAACGCGATTAAATGTAATCTGAATTTTATGGTAATCATCATGAAGTAGGGATTTAATTAGATCTGCTCTCAAAACAATGATTGAGTGATAAATTTCCTTCACGAAGAAGCGTCAAAAGACGCATACAAATTCTACGCTGATGCATATGTATATAATATGTATAGTATGTAATAAGATAACTTGGAAAACGTTGCAAGGAATTCATGATCGTTCTCAGCGCTATAACTTGGAGGGGCTCTACTGTGTAGAAAGATGACACTCGAAGGAGAGACTTGTAGACAGACCAAGCCGAACTGAACATAATCTCTATTGCTGGATGCGAACTAATTATTAAAAAAACATATCTTACAACCACAACAAAGCTGCAAGTAACTGCGCATTTATCCAATATGGCAGTCTATTAAGAGAAAGGTTTTGGTTTAGCTTAGAAAAGTTTCAGTTTCCTAAGGTTAAAGTTTTGAAAAAGCTACATCATCAGCATTACGCATGCCTTATGGCATAGATTAATCTAGAAATGACACAATCTCGAGAAGTTATTACGATTTTTAGAATAGAGAGGGAAAATTAAGGGTTTCCCGTTAATTTAAATTATAATTTAATTTATATATTTTTATCTTACATACATACATATACAGGAATGACCCTGGTGCATTTTATGTGCGCATAGGTGTAGACACTGAGATATACTTTTACAACAACGTCTGCTTTACACTAATACTTACATAAACATTTCACTCTAATATTTTACCTAATGATCGAGCACTGGATACTGATTTTAATCTGAATTACACAATTCTGCATAATATATATAATATATAT